AAGGATTGAATCCCGCACTCGCAATGTCGCGCAATATCTGAGTCATTTGAAAACGGGCCTGGGGTTACATATGCATGCATGCATGTGGACCAAATGCGGCAATGAATGGCCAACCAAGTGGCTGTATCTACACGTACAGATACAAGCATAAGTAGAACTTGACACGCTCGACACACTCGACGCCCTCGGAGAATAAACAGCCGTCAATTTCATTATCAATTAAAAAGTCCTAGTCAATTATGGTGTGCTCGACACCGACAAAGAAGTAATATCGTATCCCGACACAGGCGTCAGGCTCAAACACGCTTTTGACAGGTTAAAAAAAATCCCCCCAAGTCAAAGCTCACACAGAGTGCCAAGACTCGTGCCGTATATATTGAGAGAAATTCATAATACATGAGCCATCATTGATGAAAAGGGCCTCCAGGAATGCGGACCTAGGGCTTCCAGAGCAAATGTATATCAGGTCATCATCCTTGCCCTTGGCACTGCCAGAAGACCATGTCCAAGTCCAGCCAAAGACATGTTTTGACATATCGGGTCAGGATGTTGTTTTCTTGCGTCCAAAGATCCCCCGGGATTTGGACTTGCTGCGAGGTTTCTCGCTCGACGTCTTTCGAGAAGACCGCGATCTCGAGTCGTTCTCTTCATCCGAGTCGTTGTATTTGTCCTTGTGAATCCTGCGCCCGGTCAGAAAAACAATCTGGCTTCACAAAGCCACCTTGACTTACCAGCTGTTCCCAACCATGCTCACACCTTTGGCCTCGGCCATCCGATAAAACTTGGCAGCCTTTTTCAGGTCTTTCTTGCAGCCGATGCCTTCTGCATAGCAGAAACCCGCCTCGGTCAGGGCATCTGTGTCGCCCCAGTTGCCGGCGATCTCAAAACATCGGAGAGCGAGTGCTTTGTCTTGCTCGATACCCCAGCCGTTGAGATGCGAAACCCCGAGCTCGTAAATGCTCAGCGCAAATTGGGCTCGATGTGCCTTCTTCTCGTGGAAATCAACCCCAGGCCTCTGACCTGAAGGGTCTTCGTCGTCCGCAACCTCGAGCATCGCGTAGTCTACAGCCTTCCGAAGCCATTGAACGCCCTCCCGCGGATTTGCTCGCATGCCCCAACCATGACGGCAAGCGAGGGCGTACAGGAGCATTGCAGTTGGGTGTCCCTTGTTGGCCGCGATACGCAGATGGTAGGTCGATTCTTTTAGTTCACCCTGTTGATGGAGCTCAATTGCCTTGGTAACATGATCGTCCATGGAGAGGCCTTGGTAATTGCTGGCAGACCGGCTTGTGGTTGGCCGAACCGTGCTTGTCGATCGTGAAGAGTGTGATGCTTCTGCTACGGGTGATAGTGGCACCGGGGGATGCATGAACCCCGAAGATGAAGGAACAAGCTGGCCAATCGAAGGTCTCGAACTCGAAGAGTCATTGGATCTGAGAGATCCTGTCGGCGTATAATACGGTGTTGGATAGGCGGCACGGTCCGTGGCGGTCAACGTGTGCTCCGAGTTGAGCTCAAACGATGGGCTCGACCTCTGATGTTGGTCTTCTCTGCTGGGTCGAGCTGATGCCATCGGAGACGGAATCGGGAGCTCAGTGCTGTTCTTGGCTTCTAAAGGTGGCGTGCAGGGAAACATCGGTTCCTGCCACTCGAAATGGGGTGTGGACAGGGCCGAAAAAACTACAGATGTCCGATCGGAAACCAGTCGGCCCCTAGGCAAGCTGTATTTAGCATGGGTATATGAAGACGCTTCCCCAGCGAGATAGCCATCGACGGGCGATGTGGAATTATCGAAAGAGTTCGCAGCACGGAGCTGGCTCAACCGGTTTGCGAATGTGGCTTTGGTCGGGCTTCTGTCGCCCTTGAGGTTGCTCATACTGACTGAACTCAAAGGGCGGGAGAAATTCCGTGTCAGTGTTTTGTGAGAGGGAGACCCAAGTGAAGTGCTGGAGGGCGATCGAGCATGAGACTGTTCATAGGGCGAGATTGGAGAATGAGGAGCAGAAACACCGCTGCTGGACGAAAGCTTCCTTGACTGAGAAAAGGTCGAACCTGCATTGGAACTGGTATAGTCGTCGTCAGAAGCATCCTGGTACGGTCGGAGTCGGCTGGAATAGGATCGTGGCGGTGCCAGAGTCGCACTGAAGTCTGATTGAGAAGTGCCCGAGACTTGTCTGGAAAGGCCATGTTGGGGAACACTATGGGATGGTGATAATGGTCCCTGAGGCTCTAACGGCGGAGGAGATTCAACTCGAGAGGCACCAAAGTAATCCTGCATCGGAGATATTTCTTTGCTTTCCTGATCCTCGCCCGATTTGAGCGCACTCACGTGAACACGTTGGGAGGTCGGCCTGTTCAGAGGATGAGCAACTCGAGCAAAGCTGCCACCACGTTCCTTGTCCAACGTTGGGAGAGGAGGGACTGTGTCAAGGCCATCAGACAAGGCACGAAATATAGGAGGACGATTGTTTTGGTGTTCGGTCAGGGATTCCGTCACTACTTGTGGTGGGAGTCTGCTCATACGTCGCTCGCCGGCTTTTCTCGTTTCCTCCAACTCTTTGGCCAGTTTGCGACTTCGGGCCGCAATGGCATCCAATGGTGATAGTGCAGGAGGCACGTCGCCGTCGAAATGTTGGATCCGGGGCGATAATGCATTTCTCGATAGTGCGCTAGCCGAGCGAAGATTTTCTTGGGGGATCTCGATGTATGTTGGACGAGTCATCGTTGGATGTGGACTTTACGAGTAGATTGAGTTGAGTCTCTGGAAGACTGGGCAACCGTTGTCGTAACTTGGCTGTTATGTTGTTGAACCGAGTCGGAACAAAGGCGAAATGATGGCATGGATCGAGGGTCTGGGGAATCGGACAACGTAGAATGCAAGGCTTCCAGGAGGATCGAAGGGTGGCTGAGGTCACAGCTGGGAACCAGGTCCGAGAGAACGAGAGTCTGGGGGCTGGCGCAGGAGTCGCCGCTGATGGGTTGATAAAAGTAGGATGCTATGCCAACGGAACTCGTGTCCGAGTTGTCGCCCAGAATAAAATGATGACAAGTGAGTGACCAACAATAGCCCACACCAGTAATATATTCCAGGTGCAGTCTATGTCAATACGAAGTGAACGAGTGCGGCTGATAACGAGAGTGTCGAGGGGATGTGTGAGAAAAACGAGTGTCTGAAGTGGTCTTATGAGGAGGACAATGGTGGCGTGAAAAAGAGTAGATGGTAGATACAGGATGGGATGCAGGACGCAGGCAGGGAAAAAGATGGCAGAGAACAAAGTCCAGTAGCGTGAGGTGGGAGAAGGTGGATGGTGGGTGGTGGATGGATGGTGTGGGTGGCTGCAGGCGGGCCGTCAATGGCCACGGACAGCATGCGAACTTTTTGGGGGAGGGCAGGTCGTAGTTTGCAGGTGGTGATGGTGGTGGTAGCAGATCAGACACGCCTTATGCAGACACTTCTGGGCACCCCCGGTTTTGAACATGATCGACCACTGCCAGACACAGGTGTCCAGACAACTCCCAGACCAAGGTACGAGTCCCTAGTAAGTGATATGAAAGGTGATGTGCAAGCCATGCAACTCCAACCGGGGGGGTGAGAGACAGGCAACGAGAAGCCCAGAAAAAGCCCAAAAAAAACAAGAGTGACCTGCATAACTCAGTTGCAGCAATCGGGGGTAATCCCTGAAGGCCCGTTGTGGGGCATGGTCTCCCCCTTGATATTTTTACTTAGGGAGCGAATAGTGCCCCCTGACCTTCGCCCACCCTGGCACCCGAACAAGCCTTCCGAAACCCAGACAGCCAGGGCAGACGTGCCATTGGGTACATCAACCCGGGCTCCAAGCCACAGCTGCACTCCAATGGAGGCCTGTCGACACTACCTGAAGACCTCTGCTTCATCCTCTTTGGTGTCTTTTTGCTAGACTCAGGGGCGAGATTGAACCAACAGCATGTCTGGGATGGCATCGCAGGTAGTTTGACCGACAAGACAGATTTGATGGGAAGATGAAAGCAGCTGAGAGGCTGAGATGATGAGAGGACGAGAGGCTGAAAGGTGCATCTTCGTCCACTTTCGTCCTCTCCTCCGTCCATGATCTGGAAGGCTCAAGTGTTGCACGAACCCGCAAATTATGGAGACGTCAGTGCAACCTCGATGCTGTTACTCTACAACTATATGTGCAGCCGTGGTGACACGCTGGTTGATGCAGAAATTCCCCGAGGTCGTTCTGCAGGTCATGGTTCGGAACAGCCCGTGCCCTGCAGTGGCAATGTCTCATTACATGGTGGTGGTGGTGCTGCGGCAACTCTTGTTACCACTACAGGGAGAGGAGAACGCAATGGCTATCTCAAACCTACCTATGTACCTCGTACTTGGACGAAATACCGACTACCGAGTCCATATGAGAGCAATTCCATCTCCTGCAGAGTACGACTCGAGGTCGACTAGCCAGATCTCGGGACTGACTAGCATGAAACTATCGCTTCTGGGACCTTGACACTTGCAAATCTATTACGTCGTCAAAATCCCAAACGAGGTGAAAAGAAAGAGACTTGATTGGTGCCATTCAAATTGCCTGGTTGGTGCTGGTGACTTTTTTTTTGCTGCACGCGACACATTCTTTGATCAGCGTCCATGTGCAATCTGTTCTCGTCCGCGTAGGATCATCACGAATTACTCGGTACCTACAAAGGCAGGGAGAGATAGTTGAGCTTCCGAGAACAAGGACACCAATTACAACAAAACCACCACCACCATCGACAATCTCGTATATCTCGTAAACTCCTCCCCCACAAAGTCACCCACAAGGCCAAAAAGCCACCAGCATCATCATTTTACGTACATGTACAGCTCTCAAGCTTTGAGCTCCAGCCACAGCAACGGCGATATCTCACCTTGTATACTTTATATGTGGAGCAGGCTATATACATCTACTCGGTACATGGTAAATATCATACATATATAGGTACAAACAAGCACTCGTATAGATCGTGTTGATGGCTCCTCGTCAGTCTTCCGCCTCCTCCTCCTTAACTGCATCTCTCTCCTCTTGCTGCGCTTCTTCTCCTGCTTCGCCCTGCATCTTTTTCTGCCGAAAGGCCTTTCTCAACTCGCATTTGCCCAGATTTTTGCCTCCTGCCCGACATTCTTCGCACCTCTTTCCGTGCGTGACGAGGAGGATATGCAGCCCGTACTTGTCCTCGTCCGGGATCATGACGTCCAAATGCGCGTGTGTCTCATCTCTCGAAGCATTCTTGGGTCGCCAACCTAGCAAGCCTGTAATGCGCCAGACATGCGTATCGACAGCGAAGCTCTCGCGCTGGAGACAGAAGAGCAACACGCAGCTGGCCGTCTTGGGTCCCACACCCTGGAAGGATAACATCTCTTGCATGGCCTCTTCACTGGACGCGTCATGGAGATGGTCCAGGGAATACTTGCCATACTTTTCTTTCGTCTGTTGTAAGATGCTCATAATGACTTTACTCTTTACCGCGCTGAGTCCGCCACATTTGATGGCTTCTTGGAGCTTGGCTTGACCTCCAGCAACGATAGCGTCCCATTTATCACTCCCTCCATACACCTTGTCCATACTCTTCTTGGCCCGCGTCGAGTTAACGTCGCTCGTGTTTTGGGAGAGAATGGTGCGGACCAGCGCGTCGAGTACGGTGGGAGAGTCGCCGCAGCCTGCTCGCGTGGTCGAGGCAACGACTTCTTTTGGGCGAATCCGAGGGCCGTGGAGGGAGGCGAGGATCCTGTGGGCAAGTTTGCATTCCTCTGGTGTCGGATGATGAAAGTCAGGGAATGGAGATTCATTGGCAAACTGGGCATAGGACTTGAGTTTCTTCGCTTTCAGATCGGATGGTCCTGATTTCTTCGATGGAGATTTCTTCGGAGAAGACACAGACGCAGGTAAATCGCCCGAGATGGATGGGCTCATTAGCCCAGTATCTTCCACTTCCTCCTTCTTCATCCTCTTCCTGACAGGTGTTTCTTCTGTACGTGGCGAAGTCCGCTTATTCCGAGGGGTTCCCTGCTCCTGCTTGATAGTGACGCCGTCTTGATCTTGGTCCTCCTTTTTGAACTGCGCTTTCTTCTCTCCTTTGAGTGCCCCAGACGTAGTGCTTCTGGTCACTCGTCGGACCCCTGACGCGACTGTCGAAGTGCGCTTTGACATGTTGGGATTGAATCTACCCGAATAAGAGGAGCTTGGGAGAACTGCACTGAAAGGTGACAGCCTACAAGGCCGAAGCTGCGAGAAAGAGAGCGTACTATAGAAGGTGAGGTGAGGCGTAGGAAACGCAGTCTTTGAAGGCGGTGGATTTGCGTATATCACCTAGTTGGAGTCATATAGACTGCGACTTAGATCTTACAATCTGGTAGATACTCACCCACTAGTTGCTTGTAGAGGAGACATATAGTAGCGGCAGAACATGAAGATGCTTCCTCTGGCAGCCACACCTATGCGTGCCGTGTCATGATGTCAAGGACTTTTCAGATTTAGAAGCAAGCGTTGATTTCCTACGGCAGATCAGGCGGATTCCGTCTGCGCAAAAACCGTGCGGTGCGCAGAGTACGCGTGACTCTCACATACTCACCACATTGCCCTGCTACACATCCCACACATGCCAGACCGCCACATTGCACGTAGCCAACACGACATGTACGGTTAGATGTCTCTACCTCGTGGCCAGAGGCAACAGCTGCAGAAGAAGAGAGCACACCAGTCACGGAGTTGTAGGGCTGTCTCTGATATACAGACAGCCGTGCAACTGCGCATCTGCCTTGTCTGGATGTAGGTCCACACGCTGCAACTGCATGCTCCATTCTATGTCTCGCCTACAGAGGTGAGCGTCAATCAATCCATCTGCGCCGGGCTTCCCCTCCTGCTCCATATCCCTGTACTAGAGCACAGACGACAAGTACCAGATGTACCTGCAACCTCTCCAATATTGAGCGGGATCCCAGTGTGAGTGATTCACGAAACAAACATCAGACTGGGTGCCAGAGCAAAGGGTTGACCATGGGTTTGTTGAGGGTCTGGCACAATCCGTCCGCCCGTTAAAGGCACATGCAAACATTCACTATGGCAGACTTCGCATCACAAAGGCATTGGCACTACTACATATTTCACGCTCACGATGGTTGCCAATTGTCCTTCATCTTTCCATCCGACTCAGATCCGCACCGCAATATTCACGGCACCATCTCTGTCTCTGCGTGGACAAGCGACAGATCCAGCTCGACAGCTTCTCGGCGCCTTCAGCCTGTGTTCCCTTCGCCCATGGCAACCCCTTCTAGCAACGATCCTGGCCCCACGGGCACAGACACGGCGGTGGTCACCATGTCCGCGCCCGCGAAGTGCTCGTTCTACGACCTTCCGATAGAAGTTCGGTTGGAAATATACGAGCTACTTTACTGTTACTCCAAGCCCATCCACCTTACTCTCGACCACGACGGCACGATCAAACACCAGCGCGCAGAATCTGCCACGAGTTGCTGCAGTCCCGACCTTGTCATCCCGGTCCACGCTTTTACGGTAGCAAAGACACTCTGTCATGAGGCTTCCCCTGTCCTCTACCAGCGAAACAACTTCAGCATGGACTGGAAGAATCTCAAAATGTTCTCCCAGAAATGGGACCAGGAACTCAACAGCTATCTGGGAGCAATCGAGATTTTCTGTGACGATGGGCCAGCTTGGGGTTTTGTCCCTGTCACCAGATTGTTGGTTGACAAGATGCCGGGTCTACAAGAGATCAATTTCAAGATTTCAGGCTCACTCAGACTTGCTGCTGCCGCCCTGGAGACCTCCAGTGCCATAACCCCTTGCGCCTCTATGTTCGGTGGACCAGAACTGGATCTCGTTCTTCAGCCTCTGAAGTCTGAAGACTGCAATAGTGGCAAAGGTGGCTCCGATCTTGTTGCCATTCGCAATGGCATCCAACAGGACAATGCAAAACTGGCAGAAATCTGGCCCGAGGGTCTTGCTCCAAACAATATCACTCGATCCTGCGCTCCAATCTTGTCCCATATCAGATTGAGTGGCAGAATCTCTCGCACTACCCTTGACAAAATTCTTGGACACAGATGTCTGCCAGGTGATTGTTTTTGGGAGGAAGTTGCTCAAGAAGTCAAGGAAGGTGACGCCGCCAAGGTGATTGGGGAGAACAAGGACGCCACCAAGATGGCAGAGAAGAATGGCAGCTCTGACAAGTTGACCGAGGATATGGTGCACTACAAATGGAAAGCCATGGTTCCTGGAGAGAGGACCGACGTACCGAAGATCGACATGCGCCAGTGGTACCCGCCACTTACGGAAAAGGAACAGCAAAAAGTGAGGGATTTTTTCAAGGTCTTCGAGCAACGTGACAGTTGCTGTAAGAGTGACAGCGCATCCGAGATAGAAAGCCTTCCTAAGGACGCCACAGCTTCTGCGGAACCTGGCTCGACTGATCATGGCGGGACAAGTCAAGATGCTTTCTCTAGAGATGCCGAGAACCAAGAAGTCGTGTACGCGGATGGAGCAGAGTCTGCTGCGAGTACTGCGTCTGCCAATCCTGACGATCTCCTGGGGAGCCTGCAGCAGTTGGCTTTTGCTGACTGCTTTGAAAACCTCAACTCCGAGTTTCTGCACCAAGACCTAGCAGAGGTCAGAGCAGCCCTACTGGAATATTTTGGCGATTTTGCATTCGAACTCTTTCCAGATGAGTTTGCGGATGAAAACTAGCCAGAAGCACTTTTGTTCGTGCCGATCTAGCCTTGTCGACTCATTATGACACAGGAACGAGGCTTTGTGCAACCTCTTTTGTTGGCATCATCATGACGACTTACAACATGCACAATAGACCGACTAATGCCGAATGATGGGAATGCGTTGTGCAAAGGGTGTACGGACGAGCGTGAATATTGGTCAGACACAGGAAGAAAGCAAGAGTCTTTGTCAACAATAGTGGCACCACCACAACGAGCTATGAATACCATGCAACGATACGAGGTTTTTTGAACAGCGAGCTGGGCAAGACAGGGATTTGTCGAAAAACATAAAGACAAAAAAAAAGGAACAAAAAACAACAGACTGAACGAAACATGGCTTTTTGGATAGTAACGCAGACGAGTGGCGGGACGGTGATGGGGATTGGATATTGTTTCCCCTTTCCGCAGCAACGGTGATGCCCTTTGTCTGGAACATGTGTCTTTGAGAATCAGATCAGATCAGATTTCGCTTGGTTGGTGGTTGGTTGGTGGTTGGTTGGTGGTTGGTTGGTTGGTGGTTGGTTGGTTGGTCGGCCGGTTGGCACATTGGATGGAATTTCCACCTTGAGTGCCTGGCACCCTAGCTGCCTGACAAATATCATCCGAAAATCGAGCTGTGAATGGATAATTGACAAATTTGATAATAATACCCTCGTCTGTTTCTGTTTCTATTGGACGGCCTAGGTGCCCAGTAGACATAGTAGTCATTATAGTGGTGAGAGGTAAAGAGACCGGGCATACCGTGGGAGAGACAATAGGCGAGTGAGTATTCACTCCGAGGAGAGACATGATGGCGAGGTTTTGCGCCTGTGAGATAACATGCATGTCATATTCTGCCGTGTCATGCTGTCCCTGCGTGGAAGGCTATACGATAAAACATCGATTCATAACATATCGTAACGACATCACATCATATCAATATCAATATCAACATCAACATCAAATTGCCCGTTGTCCAGTGTCCATGCAATGCAATGCAATGAAATGACACGGAAGAGATACGTAAATGCCGCTCTTTTCTTCATGCTCGCTTCGTTCATGCTGGGAAGAGACAGACAACCGGACGACAAAACATGCCATGCCATGCCGGGACTTCTCTTCCCCCTCTGAGATTTCAACGATGAGCCAATCCTCTGTTCAACGCCACATTTCGGCCCATCTCCTCCTCATCCTGGTCGCGGAACTCGATTCCCAACTCATCGAGGCCGTCGCTGCTCATGGACCCTCCCAGTAACGACCCCACCCTCCGCATCATGCCGATGCTTCTTCGCACTCTGTGGCCTCGCCCGCCATCATCATGCGCATTCTGGTGATCCTTGGGTCCGCTTACAATCGCTGCGGCGACTTCTCCGCCGCCGCCGCCGCCACCACCACCATGATGACCGTGGTGGAGAAAGTGATGATGATGATGTGGAGAATCCTGAGCATTCTGCTGATCGTCAGAATGTTCTTTTCTCCACTTGGCAAACGTGCTGCTCTTCCTCCCCTTCTTCAAATCCTGCGCGAGGGTGGCACTAGGTTGAGGCGGCCAGTTTCCTTCGGACTTCCAGCCTTCCACCAAGGCGGGGATCATGTGACATAGAGGAATGGGCACGTTGGGTGTGAGGCCTTGGACCACAATTTTCGAGTAGATGGTAGGGTATGCTGAGGGTTTTATGCGCTCGCGAATGATATTGTCCTGGGGAAGTATGGGCGGATAAATGGGAATCCATGGACCAGGTTCCGTGGACGAGGGCGAAGTCGGTAGCGGCGACAACGGTGGTTGGGACGTCGAGGAAGGCGAGAGAGGCTCCGCGGTGGTATTGGTGGTGGTGCGTGTTGCCGATGCGGCTTCGACACTATCTGCGCTCGAGGACTCTGGCGTAGGTGACGCCGGTGACCCTGGCCAGCTTGTTGAACCCCCATCCGTAGAATTGGGCAGGTCACCCTTGTGTCCCGTAAAGACTTGGGAGAGGCGAGACTTATATGAAGCTCTTTTCGTTGCCGATGATGGCCGTCGTTCGGTCGGTTTGGTGCTGTTCGGTTTCTGTTGCAGGGCTCCCGTCCAGGCGTCACGCCTCTCAATCCAGGTCCTTAACCCCTCATTCCAACACATTTCGTCCTCTTGCATCTTTCTGCGTTTTCTCCTGCGCTCAGCAATCACTGCCCCCACGGCCTCAGGGCTTTCAAACTTGTACGGGTCGCTTCTCGCGCGACGCCGGGAGGCCAACTCTTCAAGTTCCAGGTCGGATTGAGCCTCTTCCCGTAAGCGGTATGTGAGAGGCTCGCGGTGAGGGATGGGGGATCTGCCGCCATCATTGACAAGGGGTGTAGGCGACGGAGGCGGAGGCCATTCCCAGTCGTCTTGCACCATAGACAGGACCATCCGCCGGGCGGCTCGAGTGGCCTCTGTCCTTGATGTCGGGTCGGTCGGAGAAGGAGATG